ATCCTTATGATAACAAATAAACATATTCACATAATAACAGAGTCAATATTATATTTTGTTATCCTTTTTTAGATAAACAGCAAACATGATATAACATAATATCCATCAAACATTCAGCAAGCATTGTTGATTTTCCTATCAAATAAAATAAACATGATTGGTTGATGTCAGGTTTATCAATATTTTTCTCCTATTGTTTGAATTGAGAGCACAGTCAATAATTCGTTACGCTTTTGTATCTACATTTAAAGGAGAGATCGCCAGTAAATTCACTTTTAAACTAGTTTGGAATCATTGTGTAATTTGCCATTATTAGAGACGATTTTGCAGAAATTCGTCAATTTATTTATGCTAGTACCAAATACCGCACAGGCCTATATGTTCCAGAATCATCCAAAAAAACAAAAACCAGCCAGAATTGCAAACAAAGTAACCTTTGAAGAACTGTTACACAACGTTCATATCTACAAGTATACACACACATATAAACACATGTAATATATGTAAGTCTGGATATCCCATTAATTCAATCTCACAATATCCTCTGTTGTCAATTGAAGTAAGTATGTAATACCTCACGTAATGTTATATTTTAAACTCTAGCCCATGTCAAATTCTATTTTTAAAAATACAAAAGGTGTACATAATACTTAACCTTTAATTGCAATTATATACCGACATAATAGATAAAACTTCATAATAATAGCGTTTGATCGCATTATTGTATTATGCCATTTGATTTTTGGGTTTGGATTATCATTAATCCTTTATCGTGAAAAGCATTATCACTATTTATATATCATCATAGCGTTCTATTCAACATTAACAGTGAATAAGACAAAGCCTAATTATCCAGACGATTAAAATATTACGAGATTATTCCCAGGACAGAAACGGTTCTCGCGTATAACTGTTCACACACTGCATTGATTCATTCATGCGCGTCTAACATTGAAAGAAAATCTTCTCATTTCTGTGCAAGTTAAGCAGTCAGCTACGAAACTGCGTTTAGAGCCAGACGGATCGACGGCGTTACATCGCAGAATAAAAACTGTTTCTCACCTAGATAGTGGTAAGAACATATTACAACAATCCAAATTGCTACTGAATGAGCTATCCCATTGTCCATATACAAATAGATCAAATTATAATCTACAAAATAAACGTGTTCGAAATCATTCACCGTATCTTTAGAATATCATCATTCCAATTTACGGTCAGTCGTTTGTAGCACTATATACCATAGTGACTTCATAGGCGGTTAAGCATTCTTATGACAGGAACCTCAGACCTTTGATGGAGTATTAAATGATGAAATGAGAAGAAATGTCCTTGATTCACATAAAAAAAAATTCTAAAATAAATCCTCATTCACACCGAAAAGAATTTGTGATTCCTGCAGATCTCTGTACTTGTAATCAGCATTCTAAATAGTAATGTATACTATTCCAAATATAGGAAATAAGCCCATAACAATAATATAGAAAATTCATTCACATAATTGCTATAATTATAAAACTTTCTTCTTCAGCAGATGAACAATATTCAAGCTGATATAAGTAGTAAATCTATAGTATTCACTTGAAAGACTACAGTATAAAAGCCTACACCATAGCTAATATTATTGATAAGCTTAATTCAAAACTTTTCAGTACATGAATATATAAAAAGCTTCTCAAGTGAATTTAAGCCGTCCTTCAAAACCAACACTTTCTTTCATACATGTTTATTATTCGGAAATTCATCAAACTTTTGATTTTATCCGGAACGGAAATGTGCAGGTAACGAGGCTCCACTGTACTCTTTTTAATTTATCACTTATAGAACAGTCCTGGTCGCTGATTTTTGTGGCCGATTCAGTCGACAAAAAAAAATTAAATGTTTCTTCGCTCAATAAAAATTACTATTTATGAAATAAGAAAGAACTTTGATTTGTTTTGATCCAAAGGAATATTCCAAATAAACATCACAACGAATGGGTCCAATCAAAAGGTTATAATGACTATAATCCTACAAGAGTCCAGAGAAAATTAATAACTGTATTAACTTGAATTACAAGGATCTAGAGTATATTTATAAAACCTATGTAATGCTTCAAGATGAATTGTATATAGGGCACAAAGACTTCTTGCAAGCTATCGTTTATATCAAGGCGTTAACTGGCTTTAATAAAATTCACAATAGGGTGTATAACTCGTTTAATTGCGCTCATGATTCATTACATTCAGGTAAATGCATTCTAATAACTACCAGATAGCAATCTTATGCCTTTTTACATCTTAGTAACATAATATATTAAATCTTTCTACTTGCATCTACGATATGTAATATTAAGACATATCAAAATTTAAGAAAAGATCACTATATTTTATCATACTTCTGACAATTTATCGTGACTATAAAGCAAAACTTGGTTTTAGATGCCTAACGTTTTTGTCACCATAATGTGACCAAAAGATAAGTGTGTCATATGATTTCAGACAGTTATACTTTAAGTCAGGAGATATCAAAGCTATAAGATAACTTGGTAACTTGATCCCAAGGTAATGGTCAATTTTAATTCCAGATTTAAGATTCAGGTGACCAAGTTGCCGATATTATGAAAGATTAAATCTGGAGATGAAGGTCAGATTGTAACAAATATTTTGAATACCAGAGATTAATCTTTGGGCAGCCACTTCAGCCAAAAAGCCACAACTAGGTGATTCTGAATTATGGGCGACCGTTTGTTCAACTTGATCGCGTGTGTTCTTGAAGTTTGCCGTAAGAACATTTTCTTTACCTTTAAACTGTGTGTACATTTTGTTGAAACTATTTGTAATATTTTAAACTATTTAACAGTTGATGAATGAATAAGATAACAGCATCATCTTACATCCCATATAATTTGATATTCAGATACGAGTCGTTACATTGTTTTCTTTTCTGACAATCTTCACATTTCTTCACCTTCATTTTATCTTATGTGTTGACTTCAGTTTTAATCGGTCACGGTAAAAACAATAGCCTACCTTATTACGAAAAACAAGGTTTCAGACTGAAGAGATATGTCGAATATTGGAAGCAGCACGAGCTGGAGCTGGAGATGGTTTTGTGGTCCTAAATCCGTGGTTGAGTTAGCGCTCCTATCAAAGCTGAAAATCTCTGACGATAACTTTTTTTCCTAGCTGATCCACCACGACTACCAACTAGCTGTATCTGTATCACGAAAGTGACAAGCTGTTGGATTTAGAGCTGTGAATTGGACCATATTGCCGTGTCCAGATGGTTGGAAATTTTAAGCAGTCAGGAATTTATCCAAATATGACCAACACCCCTCCATCACACCATTGAAACCGACCACATCTCCCAAAATAACAAATCAGGGCAAATTAGACGTGTAATTCCAACAAAAGGCAAACACTACCTTTGAGGGTGCAATTTGAAAGTGTGTACATAGAAATTTTCAATTTAATAACTAAGTATAACAATTTAATATATATCAATAATACAACAACAATGCTTATTTTATAATAATACCCACAATGATTTTGATTCCCTTATATCAGTTTCAATATTTTGTCATGGATCAATTAGCTCATAAAAGTCATCTATATGTAAAACACCATTATAGCATTACTTGAAGCATTACAAAGCCTTTTCCTTTCATTGAAAAGCTTTTAAGGGGTTGCATTGAAAAGTTGGCAATGGAGCTAATGGTGTGAACAAATTTTTGAAAATCAGAAAATATTTCAATTTTTTTTTTATAGAAACACATGATTTTTGAAATTTATAAACCAAATTAGACTTCATAATATCAACAAAAACACAAAAATAATTGAACACTGAGAGAAAATGATTTGGTAACAATTCTTGTTTTTATGAAGCTGAAATGCATTCCATTAATATCATTGTTCTATCTCTTTAAATAATGTGTGTGGTATGGAATGTCATATTTTTTAAAACAAAAGATTTTTAGTTTATGTTATTTATCTATCTGTACAAATAGTGTGTGCCAAATTTTTTATTTTTTTTTATTTTACATTAATTTGTTTGAAATGAAAACAGAGAAAGAAAAATCAATCTGACATCTTGTGAAATTTAAGAAAAGAGATAATTTCAACATGGCTTTCAAAAGTTTCTGAAATATTTTTTGAAACATTGTTTTAAGTAGTGCTCAATTTCACTTATCAGTTCTCTGTAACTTTTCATAGTCAAAATTGATAATGTCATATCTGAAGTGAATGTTAATAAATGTTGGAATGGATGACTTTCAGGAAGGGAATGATTTTAAACCAATAAGGATAACTTTTTGTATAAGTATCACTTCAAGACAAACTATCCAAATCTTTATGTTGGGGTGTTTAGTTCTGTTTATCTAGTTGAAGAAGTTTCCTTTACAAAAAAAAACAAAATATGGGGAATTTGTAGCCAAATTCAAATATCCATGATGATAATCTATTACAAACATATTATCAGAAAAAAAATCAATCTTGAAATCTATGTGATTTGAATAGGCTATATAGACTATTATTGCACACTATGTTTTGTACATTTTGATACAAATGTACATTTCAATAACGAAAAATTCTCACTGTTAAAAATAGTGTTCGATACATCAATTGTAGAGCTATATAGAAATATTAAAACAGAACCTAAAGAATCATGGTGTTGCTCTTCAAATCTGTTTGCAATTCAGACTGCGTACCTATTGAAGTTGGACAAGTAGAACTTATTCTCATGCCCACACTTCGAGACGAGTTTGAAACGTTTCGGAAATGTACTTTCTAATAATTTTTTTTTACTCATTCAAGACTCAAATCAACCCCCCAAAATGGTGCATCTATCCCTTATAAATATAGGTGTTGATGTTAAGGTATAACTAAATCTGGTAATAGTTGACAACTGGTAATAATATCTACTTTATCTTCTAAATGAAATAAATCATTGGTTAATAATCGTAGGTTATGGGAAGCATCCTGTAAATAAACATACAAGGATTATCAAAAATCTAATTCACTGAGTTGTTATAAAACTTACTGTTTTATACTACTTTTATTGGTAAAAAGCACATTTTGAATATCATTTTCATATGAATCGGAATACCAGCTTAAAAAACAAGAAGAAATGATAATCTATGTGATGGACATTATTACAGAGAGAGTTTAAAATCTCTACATTTCATCAACAAGGGTCCAAAATAGTAACCAAGTATTTGCTAGTAGGATACATTTAATAGTAAAATTTATTTACTATCAACATGTGTTATTCTAATTTTAATGAATGTACATATACAAACAATTTATATAGGCGAAAGCTTGTTTACCAATTCTTTTCATATTTATGTGGATAAAATATTGTTTAAAATAAATTATTGCTATTATTATTTTGGAACCAAAACAAATGAGATTTACCAGCTTAAGAAATCAGACATTAAGTAAGTTTTAACATTTTTTTTATCAAATGTGGATACAAAACTTGCCAGATCTACAGGCAGGTAAGAAGCTACTTCATGAAGTAAATGAAAAACTTTCAAAGAATAACAAGTGTTTCTTGTACAATACTTGATTTGAAATTTAACTTGTAAATTGTTTAAAATTTAACAAAACAGATGAAATCATAAATAATTCAAGGTTGAAACAGGTCTCAAGGACATTTTTAAAACACCATTTTTTCTGCAGTGTAAGATCTTTTTCAAGATTAGTTCAGATTTCAACAAGGTCTTTTGTGTCTAACAAATCTGGCGCTATCTGTTCCTCTGATAAACAGATGGGATATTGGTACATTTAGGTCCAGACAAAAATCTCACTTCTCCTATACACATTTGGGTCGCTAGTTTTTGACATACCAAAAGTCATGCCAAATTTGGTCTTTGTCATGGTGAAAATTTCAAAAGTGTGTCTGAGTAGCCCCCCATAAAAAGTGACATTTTGTATCTCGTCCTAAATGTGCCAATATCCAATATGTATATCACTGATTATCACATCAGAGGAATATATTGGGCCAGATTTGTTGAGATAGTAAAAAGGGCATATTTATAAAAAGAATTCAGGAATTCTGCTAGGCGAAAGGAATTCCTTTTTATCTTTTGTACAGGTGGAATCAAGTTCTCATACTAAACAATAGAGTTAGGGATCCCAACCAGGGTTCACTCTTTTAAGGACCTGTGAAATCTGAGCTTAACTTCCCTAGAAGAAGAATTATTATTCTTGATATGTTAGCCTACTTGACAAAATAGTAGTGCCACTTTACCAGCAGTTTCATATTGTACATACATCCTTTTATGGGCATTAAAGGAATTTATTGTTAATCAGTTACTGATATTTAGGATCTGTACCTCCTTAGTCACTATTACTGTATATTCAATTAACCTTTTATAATATATTTATAAACTATACTAATGTGCCAATCTATATGATCTTGGTTCAAAAGGCTGGTAAACTCAGGGCTTTCTCTATTTTGTCATTTATGCTTTAAAGCAGTTTTCATTCTACTATAACTTTGTATAATTAATAAAGGCTTTACCTGAACTGAAGCATGTGATTTTTGTAACTGTTGGGTTGTTGTATGTAAGTTTCTAGCAGCAGACAAATAGGCCTGACTACAATTATCTACTATATGGGAATGTAACAATAGATTGCTCTCTCCTGTAAGAAAACACTTAAGTGAAGTATACAACATAATATTGACTGGTTTATAAGATACAGCAAAGATAATGAAAGTAAAATAAATATTTGCTTTGATATATGCTTTAAAGAGACAAGTGTGCCATTTTGAGAAGTTGATTTGAGTGTTGAATATATGCAAATGTATTATATTCCTGATAATGGTGTGAGAACCACATTGAAACGTTGAATTAATAAATATACCAAAAGTATCTATCCACAAAAGTGTCTTATTTATCTATATTTTGTGCTTCTAATATGCCGTTGAAAGATTATATATTCAAAAAGTCTTCAGAAGTACTAGAAATGTAAGAAAACCAAATAATTCCTTTAAAAATACTTCTAACCAGGAATTTCACTCATTATTTCTATTTATGTCTTTTCTATATATCACAGAGTATCTTAAACTGACGAGTCATTATTTTAACATTAAAACGCGGATAATTCTGGACAAACATGGATTCCAAAGCTATAATTTCGACGGTGAGCTGTGAACACTATAACTGATTGGCTTAGCTAAAAAATTCATGTTTCTGAGACTGAGGTACGATTGGTCAGAAAATGGTGCACCTGTACCTTTAAAAGCTAATAGGAGTTCAACCTCAGCCATAGGTATGATGATCAATTAAACCGAAATTCTAGTGATTGATTCACATACATTGGAAATAATCTCTAGGATGAGCTACGATTATTAGATAAAAATAAATAATTTCTGAGACAAAGGCACGATTGGTCAAATCATAGAACTGTAATAGAGTTATATAGCTATTAAAGTTCTATGGTCAAACGGATGGCAAAAGTGTGCCTTAAAGTTGATTTTGGTGTTCAAACCATCTTTTCATCGAGGACTAAAATCAATATTAAATCAAGTTATCATTTATCATCCAATTGGATAAATGTACTTCTTAAAATATCTTTAGTTAAGTATTTCCCTGTTTTCATTATCAAAAAAACATCATAAATTATACCTTAAAATAGTATGCTATTAATATCTATGTATCTACTTGATAAATCAATTTGTTTTAAAAGGGTAAATTAAAAACGGAGAGCACTAATTGTAAATTGAGCAGTTTTTGGTGTTTGGCTTTATAATGGCTCATTAATATTAGTTGAAACCTTCAGAATACGTAGAGACATATATATCTCTACAATTAGGCCTTTATTTTATTCAAATCCATACAGTAGTTCTCTAACAGCTTCCAAAATGCATAATGCAGAATGTTTTTAAATATTTTTGGCGTTATTAACGGCTGGATTTTTTTAGTTAAAACTTGAAGATGTTAAAGGGCGCATTTCTTTAGATTTCTGTGTATAGTTTTCACAAATTTGATCAAAAAGATTTTTTTCAATCTACAAATAAAGGTGAAACAACGTGTCTATTCATAGCAAAAATGAGGTTTAAATAAACATGGTGATATTAGGAGAATTTTGTTAGTTAGGTAAAAGATGACTTACTAAGTTTTCTATGAAGAAGACTGAAAAGAGAAAAATTAATAGTAAATTCACTACAGTATAAGGGGACATAATCACATTTTAACAAACCATGGCTTATACATTGTGACAATTCCCCAAGTTTTTAAAAATGTTTTCATAAAACTGCGAGACAACTAATAAGATGGCATTCCATGAGTCTTTAGGAACACCAAGCAAACCATGTTTAGAGTATTCTGGGTTGTTAAATGTAAGATTGTTTCAAAATAAAACTAAGCATTTCTGTTATTTTTATCACAAATATCAAAAAAATCCTCAAATTTACCACAATGGCTAGTAAAATGAAAGAATAGCACAGCTTTGAGCATTGCAAATTCACAAGGGTCATCCACAGTTGCTGAACATACCAAGGTCATACATGGAATATGCTTTGTTATCACTCACTATTTTTGTGTCTGTGTTATGCCATATCCAACCTCAAATTTTCGCCAACAAGGGGTGCGCATTATATACGGGTAAATGGATTTTTCCAGATTTTGATAGGGTAAGGAAGGGGTGCGCATTATACACGCTTGCGCATTATATTCAGAAATATATGGTATCCTACATAAAAGTCACCGGTATAAAACTTACGTGTCATATTTAGGTTTAGTAGCTTTAGCTTCAGCTGCTCTGGGTGACATCAATGTTGGTATTTCTGATGTGGTTTCACTTCTTTGATTAACTACAATAAAAATGTTACATTATCTAATAATTACAACAAACGTCAATTTATAACACACTTACAATTTATCATATAACATCAATTTATAACACCACATCAATTTATAATACAACATTAGTTTATAATATAACATCAATCAATAACATATAATACAATTAATAATATAACATCAACTAATAACAAAAATTATGCAACTCTTTACACTAATGCGGAAACAGAAAGATAACGTATTTGTACTTTTACATTCTTCTCTTCTACTTTATTGGACTTATGAAATCATTAATTTTTAGTCATTTGGTTTAACATGGAATTTAAGTGCTTTAAACAACCTAACACAAAACTTAATAACCTCCACAGACAGGTACAGGGTAATTAGCTATGACATAATCTACAGTACCGTAAGCTTACCTATTAATGGAGGAAAGTCATTTCTTGGTGGTGTTGTAGGTGATCTTAAATCAATTTCTTCTTCATCTGATTCTGAAGCTTCACCAGATACAATGACACCTTGTGGTGCAGTCAAATCATCCTGAAATATAAAGATTGGTAGTATGAAGTACATTGGTAGTATGAAGTAGTTTTTTTTATCAGCACACCAAATTCATTTTAGAGACTCTTTAAATTTTGTATCATTTATTTACTAATCTAAACTGAAATATATCAACTGAAGTATATACTGTACATATTTTCTAGTTATATGTTATGAAACAAAGCAACAGTTATACAATAAAGCGAGGCCCTCTTTTCAACTGGGGCTGGGAGAAATATACTGAAAGGTAGCAATTTTGTCACAAGAAGATAATTCAGAACACAAATTTCACTAGTCCAATTGACTCAACCTCATTCACTTGGCAGCCTTAAGGAAAATTTCATCTATAAATTTGCTATAAATATATAATCTAGGTGTTGAATATTGCTCTACAACTGATTATTGAGCTCTATTTTAACAGTGAAAAATATTATATTTTATTGTAAATAGGTGTTGACATTGATGGATTTTGTCTTCATGGTGGATATGTTAAATATTTGATCTATTTCAATGTACGGTAAGTTCACAATTTGACCATAAGTCTTGCCTTCACAATGCAGACAATCTAGCTAATATATGTGGTAAGAGGAGAAACAGACGGTACGTGAACCACCATCTACATAATAATATGAGAATATATTTTCACTCTCTATAGCATTGTCAAGAAACTCTAGCCCTAGACCTATTGATAAAATTGCTTAAGAACTGTCCACTGTCAATCATCCTCCGTCAGCACGTCAATTAATTAATCCCAAATTACTAAATAAGGGCACATATTTAGTTATATGGCATATGCTAACATTCTAACTAAGTGTAGATAAGTACTGAGAGTGAGACTTAGTTAGTACAGTAAAGTAACCTATTTTCGTGCTAACCTATTTTTCATGCATCTCCGGAAATGATTAATAATTTACATGTGCGACCTAGCATGACCTCCACATTTTCTTGTTTTAATAAACATGGGTTTTGTGTACAATATCAGCTTGTAGAATGAATTCAGTAGTTTCAAGCAAGGTAAAATATATTAATGTATACTTTGACAAATACAAAAGGGCGGATTTCAGTTATTTATCACAATTTTTTATCTGCCTAATTTCCTTATAATCCCTTGCTGTAATTGAATTCCAAGTGTCGTCTGCTAGAATATAGTCCAATGAATGAAGTGAGTTGGTTCCTCATGAAATATGGGTCAAGGTGAGGGATTCATAAAGAAAATCGAAATATACCATATTTTAATTATTTTGTAGAATATCTGAGCAAACATCTAAGACATTTAAAAAAAAATTCCGTTTTTTTAACTTTGACGAAATTCGATGTTGAATTCTTATATGCACGAAAATAGGTTACACCACTGTACTGTACCAAAGATACTCATTTAATATCATAATTATGATTTTGTATGTATTCATATTGAAATAACTAACATTTTCATCATCGTCGGATTCCGAGGCTTCACCCTGAACCACAATTTTAGATTCTGCTTCACTTTTACTCATGTTCACTACTCTATTTACTTTTCAGTCTCTCTTTACTTTTACTTCTTCAATTCAAGGATTACGCCCCTTTGATATAGAACCAAAATGTTGGAATTTAGATCTCATAGCATAAAACGAAACTAAATAAATATTTTTAATAACCAATTAGAACATTATGAAATGTGATATTTATGGCATGCTTATTATTTTCAATTATATTTCCTTCACAATAAAAACAATTGTGACCATGAATTCTCATCAAAGTCGCAATATCATATTGTAAACATATATTCGTTTCTTCATATTCTTCAATTCGATCATTTTAATGGCCTATATTTACTTCCGGTGCTCACAATTATTAAAAAATCAAAACGTTTTATTGAGAATTAAGCTATATTTTGAAAATTAAAATTGTAAATTTGGAAGGTATTCAATGCCTCGTAGGAGATCTCCTGAATATGAAAGAGAGGAGAGACGTGAAAGACACAGAAAACACAGGGAGAGATCTTCAAGCCCTGAAGATAATGAAAGTGAGAGGGTAAGATTGTGATGTTTGTTTTTTTATTATGTAATAATAATATGTTACTGATACTCTATGTATGTTTTCATAGAAATGGTAATACTTTTCACTTGAAATAATCTCACTTCCCTTTTTACGTATCAGTAAACAATTTTTTTTCTGCCTTGTATCAGACAAATTATAGATAGTAAAGCTTATTAATTTAAAAATTATTATTTCAGAGTCAGAGACGGCACAAACATAAACACAGATCACGCAGTCATAGTAGAAGTCAATCAGTAGAAAGAGATCATCAATCACACAGCAGACATAAAAAACATAAACATCAGAGGAATCATGATGCACATCATGAATATGATCCTCACAGACGTATCAAACAAGAAAGATTGGACGATAATGAACCACATCCCCACCGGTCAGATAATTCCCATCACGACAGAAGAATCAAACAAGAGCGGCAAGATGAAGATATGGCTGAACAAAGGCGTGACAGAAGGCAAAATGATCATAGAAGAAAAAGAACACATCAACAGAGGGTCGAGGAAGGTGTTGATATGAACTTTGGTAGACCAGACCAAAATTCTCAAGGTAGTGCACCGGCTGACAAGGAAGCACCAGATTTCAAGCTCTCAGGAAAACTGAAAGAAGATACAAACACATTTCGTGGGGTTGTTGTACATTACAATGAACCTCCAGAGGCTAGAAAGCCTAAAAAGAAATGGCGTTTGTATCCTTTTAAGGGAGAACAGAATTTACCAGTATTACATATTCATAGACAAAGTGCATATTTGATAGGTCGTGATCGAAGAGTGGCTGACATCCCTGTTGATCATCCTTCTTGTTCCAAACAACATGCAGCTCTTCAGTATCGTCTTACAGAATTCAGACGTGAAAATGGATCTCGTGGCATGAAAGTTAAACCGTATGTCATAGATCTTAATTCAGCTAATGGAACTTATGTTAATAATGAGAAAATAGAAGGACAAAGATATGTAGAGTTATTTGAAAAAGATGTTGTAAAATTTGGTTACAGTTCTCGAGAATATGTTATATTACATGATAAAGTGGATACCTCAGAACTTTTAGATGAGGATGGTGAGTCAGAATGAGGACTTTCTCTGTTTCATTAAAATGTCAAAAATTTCATTGGGTATTTCAAAATGTAATGTTACTTCCATTTGCAGTCCATTATTGGAGGTGACTTGTTATTGTTCTGTGTCCAGTCCATGTGACCACCTAAAGCCTAAGGATGTGTATGTGTCTTTTTTCCCTGCATTTTTATCTTTTATATAAATACATTGTTGGTAACTTGTCATTATTGCACGCACTTTGCCTAGCTTGAGAATCGAATTTGTATACTGGTTGTATTATATCATGGTTTATTTTCCATTTAAAAGTTTAACCAAGGACAAAGTGGTTATTAAGGTTTATCAAGAAGTGAAATTTAATTATGTAAATTGTATGAATTAAATAAATATATTATGTATATCAGTTGTTGATTTCATTAGAATTTCTTCCATTAAAAGAATATATTATACTACTGTATATTAGTGATGGGAAATCGGTTGAAAATCATAATAGATTACCGGTTGACATTGGATGGACCTTACCAATCGATTAACCGATTATTTGCGACAATCGGCCCATCACTACTGTATATAAGACAATGTTTCACCACATCTCCACTATTGGTCTGCTGTACAGATCTGTGATTTTTTTCTCTTCTGACATATTGATCGGGGTATCTGCTTTAATGGATTCTCTGAAAGAAATACCTATTGACAAGCCCAGTGGTGCCCCAGAAGTTCTTTGCCATAGCGTCCTGCTCACTTCAGTGCCAGGCTGCGTATTATGGGCAGATATAGGTATCAAGGGGTTCCTTTTCCAATGTTCTGGCAATGTAACAGAATTTACAGAAGGGATTAAATTGCTTCAGCTAACCTTCAGTGCAGGGATGTCAGCAACCAGCAGCATTGCTCTTGTCATGGAGTCCATCTGAAAATATTACAGCTTTATTGTTTCTCACGGATAAAAAAAACTTGATATGCAATTTCAAGGTTTGCTAGAACATTTCAATGAATGGAATTTGTAGTTGGACCAACTGCATACTGACATGGGCAAACATTACTGTGATTACTTCGGATTTTTTAACTCTGTAGTGTTGGTATAGTGCAGTAGTCTATATTTTGATAACTTAGAATAATTACCTCCCCTTCACAATCATTGATAATGACTGTAATGGACTTTTAATTTCATCCTGTGATATCAGCTCACACTCAAGTCATTCAATCAATGGTGTTTGTTTCAGGGTTAACATTTTCCTTCACTATTTTCAGTACAATTCAACACTTCTAAAAACTATTAACAAAAGACTTTCAACTCAATGCGATACACATCAAAAACGAAATTCAAATAATCTTTGTGGTCCAACATCTAAACTAGTTTGGAAGCAGAGAAGATTGTTCCCATAATATGGGGAGACATTGCTTTATGTCTTAAAACTTCAGTCTAAATCGAAACTATCGTTTCTTAGAGCAATATTTCTTAGTAATATAACATCAATAACACTGTCATATTATAAAACAATATTTTCCGATAATCGATGTCAAAAACAATCGTTTCTCAAAGCAATTATCTTCGGTAATCCACCATAAAAACTGTTGTTCCTTAGAGCAATATTTTTCGGTAATACACCATAAAAACTGTTGTTCCTTAGAGCAATATTATTCGGTAATCCACCATAAAAACTGTTGTTCCTTAGAGCAATATTTTTCGGTAATCCATCATCAAAAACTGTCTTTTTTTTAACAATATTTTTCGGTAATCCCGCATCAAACACTGTCGTTTTCAAGAGCAATATTTTTTGATAATTCACCCTCAAAATATGTCGTTTCTTAGAACAATATTTTTCGGTAATATATCATCAAAAACCGGCGTTTCTTAGAATGATATTTTTTGATAATCCATCATCAAAAACTGTCGTTTTCGAGAGTAACAATTTTTCGGTAATCCAGTCTAAAAAACGATCGTCTTTTGAGCAATATTTGTCGGTAATCCATCATCATAACTATCGTTTCCTAGAGCAATAGTTTTCGGTAATATACCATCAAAAACTGTCGTTTCTTAGAGCAATATTTTTCGGTAATGTACCATCAAAAACTGTCGTTTCTTAGAGCAATATTGTTCGGTACTCCACCATAGAAACTGCCGTTTCTTAGAGCAACATTTTTCGGTAATATACCATCAAAAACTGCCGTTTCTTAGGACAACATTTTTCGGTAATGTACCATCAAAAACTGTCGTTTCTTAGAGCAATATTGTTCGGTACTCCACCATAGAAACTGCCGTTTCTTAGAGCAACATTTTTCGGTAATCTAGCATCAAAATCTGTCGTGTATTTAGAGCTATAATTTTCAGTAATCAACAATCATTTTGTCTAATTCGATGTCAACCCCTCCGATTTGCATCACATTTTGGGGAAAACTTGGAATCAAAATCTGAAGCTGTATCTCAACATTTGCCGGGATTGGGCTCTGGATCATCAGGTTGTCGAGCGCCTTACTCATTGAGCAACTGCGTCCAAGGCGGTCAGGGCTGGCTGCGACCATCCAGTTCATCACAGCGAATTTTCGATGTGAGCGTTCTGTTATAGTCCACTGTGACGGATCCATCGGACAGATGTGTTGCCAGTTGATCCGAGAGCTTCATTATTTTGACTGACATAGTGGATTACCAGATTTCAGTCAGCTGTTCGGCAAGCAAGAAACACGTAATTTCGTAGTAAAATGTTTGAAAAAATCAATTGAAACGCGTGCTAGGTTCACGAGAATACGTTTCCATAGTAACTGATTTACGCGTTTGTCTTCGCTCGCTTCTATGGTAACAGGCTAAAACGATAGCTCATTTACATATTGCTAAATAAGAGAGTGGGTTATTTTTACAGACGACAGCTTGCAGCATCTCGATACAAAACAGTGAGCGATTTATTATCATAATTAATGTCACCCAGTCTTTCTTCAAACCTCTCACAGCTTTCATCGGAAAACAAAGAGAAAAGTTTCCTCACACCAGACGCATTGGTTAATATATATGGGCCTACAGCACAACAGTATAGCTAGATGAAATGCGTGATGTAACGGTATGCTGTCAAAATATATATATATAAAAAACGAAATGTGAACTGTTATATGGATGTCGTGCAATGTGTTCAGTTATATTTCGCCATTTAGCAAATTATGCTAAGAAATGGTCGATGGTTCAATAGACAGTGACAAGCTGTAAAATAAGAAGATAAATGGAGCGATTGATTCTACTACTCGTGTAATGTAGCACTCACAACATATAATAATACACGGCGCGACCAGTTCAACACTCAAGTTATTGTACCGACGTTTATGTGAACTACGTTAGTGGTGCCCTGTTGAGTCTGCAAGTCACCAATGGTATGGTTTCCTGTGTCGTTTGACGACGTTGCCTTATCCACCAATGTTCATTTTTTTTTCTGGAGAATGGTTGTTGTTCAATGACTGTGCACCGTGTTAGTGGACTAAATTTGTAAATTGTCGGGTAAAATTCCAGAATGTTACGCCTTGGGGTAGAGAAAAATTGCAACATGAAAATTTACAATGTTGTCAAGTGGATCTATGAAATACAAAGCAACAGTATTCTGAAGATGTCAAGCATTTAAATGGAACATCGATGACTTTTCTTTGTGCTAATTTTAGAACTACATATATATGTATACAGCTATGAGGACAGAAAGACAATGGACTACAAACAAAGAGACGATATTTTTCTAGCTTTGGTGAATAAACTTTGTTCAATTTGTTTTCAGTGATTTTGTTACGGTGCTACCATTGTGTGGAGTAGCACGTGCGTAGCAACAATTAAGGTCAGGGTGGCTGAAGTTTTGGGTGCCATGCCAGCATCCCCTGGATGTGAAGACGCCAATCAAGTAAGCTGCGAAAAGCATCCCCTTTACAGACACGAAAGCGACGACAGTGGACAAAGTGGTCGAAGTGGCGACAGCAACAAAAGCAGTGGAAATTCACAAATGAGTCGTGACGCTGGATTAAGTAGCCGAATTCAAAAGAAGGATGGCAGTAATGGTCAGAATGGGAAAGCAAACAATGGCACCAGGATCGACTTTGGCGAGTACTATCCAGATGGTGGATGGGGCTGGGTCGTTGTCATTGCAGCCACCATGGTTCACATTATGTGTAATGGTTTTCACTATTCCTACGGAAGTTTGTATTTAGAAATTAGACAGTCCAATAAATTTAAAACAGATGAAATTGATACCGGTGAGTACTATCTGTATTGTGACAAATCTTTACTTACTCTATTGTATATCTATTTAATTTTTTGTGACACTTATCAATGACCCAATGATGTAGAAGCTTTAAATTCAATAGCTATTATATACATAGGGCCACAATCAAATGTTTAGAAAGCTGCCATACCATGAAATTTCTTTTAGTCAGAACACTTTCTAATGGTGATGAGAATGACTAAACTGTAGAGTACTAGTGAATTATCCATTGTCAAACTAAAATGGAAAGAGGACTGATAGAAAATTCTTCAGACATTCTCCCTCTCGGACTCATGTGTTACTACAGACATTTGATGCCAATTATCAATGTTCTTCTTATAATCAACAGCATTGACACTACCAATGAGTTCTAATGCAGCTGCTTCTTAAAATGATCATCATAAGTTTATTTTTGGTAAGGGTCATGCAGGTCTGCACCTTCTTCACTGTCATAATTGCTTTACTTTTCATCCTGCATGACATTTTTCCCCATTTAAGATTAAGATGACGCACAACAACAAAAGTGACACAATTTCATCGGTTCCAGAACGTATCAGGTCATATCCAATATCTGTTTAGAAGCAGCTCATGATGATTTTCTTCTTCATTGAACATTTTGGTGTGTTGCTTGTAGTGGTCTTTTCTTGTGCCTCTTCAATTCGATGGCAAGAATTGGATTACTTCCTCATAAGTTTGCTCTAGTTGTTCTATTATGTGGGATTGTGAGTATCAGATCAGAGCCAGAATATTGTCATTAGAACCGATGAGGTCACTCTCAGATTGATGTTCTGAGAACAG